GCAACAAAGACAGAAAGAAGGATAGAATAGTAATAATAAAAATAGTGATAACAATAATAAAAACAGCAATAAAGTATAATAATGATAATAACAATAATAGTAATAAACGAAGTCATAATAATAACATTGATAGCAACAGCAATAATAATGATAATGCAGAATAGTAATATAATAACGTTAGTGATAAGGCAGAATACTGGGAATAAAATCATGCGATAATGATAACGACAATAATAATAACGTTAATCCCATAACAATAAAGATAGAACAACATTTGCAATCTAAAATAATGTATCACAAGAACAACATTTGCAATCTAAAATAATGTATCACAAAACAAACCGATGAGCACTTTAGCATTTTCTCCTACATCTTATTCATAATCGCCTTTTGCACGTTCAAAAGAACTTTAACAAACTGTTTGGATAATGAATAAGCGCGAATGTATATAACCGACCGTACATTTTCATATGTAATGCATTTCTTAGCTGGTAGGATACCTATCTCGTCGTAGCCTAGCAGCGATAGAGTTCGAAACGTGGAGGTTGATGCTCAACACACGCTAGTGACTCTTTGAAAAAACTGAAGCTTTGCTAAGTGCTTCTGACGGGAAAGTGTTTGGACTGGTTGATGCAACTATCGGATCTGTGCCAAGCTGCTTAATCTTGATTATTCCAGCGTAAACGGAAGTCTACTTCATTCTTGATTCTACATAAATTTTAGGAACAGGGATAATCTTTGAAGTTGAGCTGAACTTCAAGGGTAAAGGGATAAATTTCGTGGGTTTTTGTCCGTATTCTGGTCTGACTGATGAGATTCCGGATTTATCCCTCTCTCTCTCTTTCTCGTATGGGAACATTCAGCAGTTTCTAGTTTCCTGCTTCCTTAAAATACAGAAAATTTCATTCTTTAAACTCAGTATATTTCTTACACTGAATGCATAAATGCTTTAACGATGTTCGTAAATTTCTGGTCAGTGAAGTCAAAAAAATTTGCTTATGCTGCAAGAATCTCGGATAGTTTCTGTAATAATTTCCAGAAATGCGAATTGTCCGGTGGCTAGTGATACTGGCACTAGCTATTCCGGCCGTGCTGGCGCGAAGCTCAAAAAGCATCGGAGTGACCGGAAACGTCAAATGTGATGGCCAGCCAGTAAGCAATGCACAAGTGCAGCTCTATTCCGAACGAGATTGTATTTTTTTCCATTTATCCGTTCTTGAATGTATTAAAAATATTACGAAGTGGTCATTTCTGCAAATCCGTCCTTCTGTTTGCCCAGGCGATTGAACTACAGATCCATGTAAACAAAGGGAAATTTTAGCTAAACAAACGCAAAATCTAAGAAATAAAGCCATCTTTTGGATCTCATTCCTCATTTTTGGCCTTTTGGATCTGTTTCCTCATTTTTGGCCTCGTGATCAAGATCCAGCTAAAATCGGAGCTTTCGCACGGACAAAACTATTAGCCTTTGTTTGGCACATCTAGCACATTGAGCTCTCTTCGCATCTTCTGGATACTGTTAATTAGGCATACTTAGCCAGATCCAAATAAGCAAGCGCTTAATCCAGCTTTATCTCTAGAATAATCCGTTTACAGTATCCTAACTTTACGCAGCTGTAAAAAACAAATCTCATTTCCAGAAAGCACAGAATCTTATACAGACTGAGGGCTAAAATTCGAGCAGACTATTTAAATTCTGTTTCAGGCAAGGTTTTGGAAGTTTTATTCCTGCACAGCGCAAGCTGTTTTTTTCGGAGGTCGACTTTCTGAATTCACAACCAGCAAGCTATCCTTTTCTTTTTTTCAGAAAAATTACAGCTTTTGACAAATAATTCTGAATTTACGGGATAAATCTAAAAGTCTTCTATTTTAGCGAAAAAACTGTTAGCAGTTGAAGGCCAGCTTGTATCTACAGAGTATTTATCATTTACATTCCGATAAATCAGATTATGGAGATGAACTCTTCTCGACAAAAAAATAACACGAATGATAATTGAAAGTGGAGTATGACTGAGCAACACGGCCCACTATAAACTGTAAAATACAATGGACATTTGCAAGGATTTTTCATAAAAAATTTTCGGAAGATCCTAGACAAAAAGTATTTTCAAGAAACTTAATAAAACGAATTATCAGCTAACAAAAAAAGGCTCCCTTTTATGTCAGTTACCGCCCCAATAAGCGCATCGCTAATGATTTAATGCTTGTAACAATAAAATCCAAAATACTGCTATTACTCACTTGAAGGACGAAATTTATCCACGGGAAGTAATCTATTTTCGCTGCTCATAAATCACGAAATGCTTAACTCTTACAGAGTTTTTTTTTCCCCCTCCTTTCTTTCACAGGTTTCCTTCAAGTGTGTAATGGAACAGTGAATTAGCCGTTTATTCTCGCTGTCACAAATTACGAAATGCTTAACTTTTTGGGCTTTTTTCCTTCTTTCTGTCGCAAGTTGCCTTGATATATGTAATGGGATGTTGGATTTCAGTTTCAAATCCAAATGCACTGGTTGCCCAGACAAAAACCGATGCGAAAGGCAAATTCACAGTGAAAGGTAGCACGACGAAGTATACAATTCTCAGCCCACAAGTT